CTCCGGTACTCTCCGGCAACTCTCCGGCACTCTGCGGCATCTCTCTGGCACTCTCCGGCACTCTCCGGCACTCTCCGGCACTCTGTAGCAACTCTCCGGCACTCTCCGGCACTCTCCGACACTCTGCGGTACTCTCCGGCACTCTCCGCCACGCTGCGGCACTCTCCGATAAATCTCTGGCACTCTCCGGCACTCTCCGGCAACTCTCCGGCACTATACGGCACTCTCCGGCACTCTGCGGAAACTCTCCGGCACTCTCCGGCACTCTCCGGCAACTCTCCGGCACGCTGCGGCACTCTCCGACAAATCTCTGGCACTTGCCGTCACTCTCCGGCACTCTCCGGCACTCTCCGGCACTCTCCGGCACTCTCCGGCAACCTCCGGCACTCTGCGGCAACTCTCCGGCACTCTCCGGCAACTCTCCGGCACTCTCCGGCACTCTGCGGCAACTCTCCGGCAACCTCCGGCACTCTGCGGCAACTCTCCGGCACTCTGCGGCAACTCTCCGGCACTCTCCGGCACTCTGCGGCAACTCTCCGCCACTCTGTGGCAACTTTCCGGCAACTTTCCGGCAACTCTCCGGCACTCTCCGGCACTCTACTGCACTTAACAACACTCAGCGGCACTGTACGGCCTTCGATTAGGCTCGTAAACACTTGAAAAACGCGCGAAAACGATCGATGACGCTCGACAATGCTCGAAAAACGATCGATAACGCTCGAAAACGCTTGAAAAACGCTCGACATTGCTCGAAAAAGTTCTAAAAACGTGTGAAAACACTCGAAAAACGCTCTATGACGCTCGAAAACGCTCTGAAAATACGTGAAAACGCTCGAGAACGCTCTGAAAATGATCGATAAACGCTCGAAAACGGTCGAAAAACGCTCGAAAACGCTTGAAAACGCTCGATAATGCTCGCAAACACTCGAAAACGCTCGAAAGCGTTCGAAAACTGTCGAAAAACACTCGATAACGCTAGATAACGCTCGAAAACGTTCAAAAACGCTATAGAAACGCTTGAAAATGCTCGATAACGCTAGTAGGTAAATGTAAAAATCATATGCGAAATGACTCGGCTTACATCCCCAGTTAAGTAAGCCTCGGGAGGATTTTTCGCAGTATTCGACTCTCACGCATACTCGTCGAGTGTAGCGCCGAACGCACACATACTCAACGTCTCGACCCGTGTTTGACGCTTGACTGGTTGGGACGCGCGAAGTTTCTAGGAGCGATCGCACTCACACAGATTCGCTTCATGAGAGTTCCGTACGCGACACCGACGTGTGCCCCAAAGCTCCGCATCACGTCGACTTCGAGGCAACAATGACGAACAAACACGGAAGCCTATTAATCGATTTTGCGATGCCCGTGATCGCCATTTACTTCCAAATTCACCGGTCGGTAAAGTGTTAATAGTAGTGGATAAGTAGTAAAGTCAAATGGAGCGTCACGAGTGATCTTCCCTTACCATCAAAAGCGAGCAGTGTCGGTAAGTGTAGGTAAGCCGCCACCGTCAACTGCCGCATGGTATTACCGTCACGGGTACGTGAGCCGCCAACGATGACTGGTTGATGGCACCGCCATCGAGTGTGCGCGATCCCCTACTAGAAATTCGTTGCGCCGCCCTTGGGGGCAAAAAACGGTGAAAGCTAACGTACGAAACCAGAGGGCAGCACAGGATGCGATCGCACGACCCTGCCCGTGAGCAATCTCCCAACTCATCTCTGGCTTAAATGCAGAGATACATTGGAAGATTGTTCACGAGCAGGGTCGTACGACGCTGTGCTGCCCTCGATGAAGAATGCGGACGGCTCGTGCATTTGACACCTGACAGCCCCAATTGCAGCCTAATTCAAGGATCAGGGAAAAATAAAAATGAATGCCTTAATGGTTAAAATAGTAAACGTGTACATATATATATACTTACCCTGCATTCTTTGATCTTGTGGGTAACAAGACGCTTGTCAAAGTTTCCAATTCATTAGTTACATTCCTAATAATATATCAATTACCTAAATGAACGCATTAAAAACTTATTTCAATAGAAAAGAATTGTCTGAAGTGTAAACAGTAGCGATGTTTATTTTCATTATCCATTATTATTTTCGCTATACATCATATTTCTCACTTCAGATGTGAAGAAATACTGATATGTAGATTGACTTTAAAATTACTAAACATCGCTCACCGAAGAATACTCAATACGGAATAGTGTTTTCAACATAAGTCGATCATTTCCATTAAAAAACGTCTGACTACACTAATTCAATCATGGTAAAAAAAAAACTTATAAAAAGAAGCAAAGAGAGCGTAAAGAACGATTTTGTTTAATAAACGACTTTTGTATAGATCGGCTGGCAAATATGATGTATATTTACACATTATCAACGATGCAATATTTATAGAATACTTTGTATAAAATGAAATTCATATTAATGCGAATGTAAGGCAAAATATAGATTACATAATTTAGTGACAATATACATATATATATTAACTTGTGTACTCTAACAATACGTATACATCTGACACTGGTTAATAAAAAATAAATTACTTTAACTTATGGCAGTTTCTCCTTAAACAAGGTTAATCCTTCGTCATCACCTGCGTACCTAAGGGAATCACAGCTGATGTGTAAGACAAAGCTATGCATAAAACTGTTGATTAACGAGAGAATACCTCACGACGATACATTCGGTAAAGATTTATAGGAGTACTTCCACACATTTGACACCGTTTATTCTTACTTTATACATACTCTATAAATGTACAGAACGTTCTTCTTATACGTGCACATTCTCGTCCACGTCTCTCTCCTACTAGATTAGTTCGTAGTCGAGCAGAGGTTTCGTTAGTTAACTCGCACCGCACTTTACGATCTTCGACCACTCGATATGTCATCCGCGGTTCTCGTCGTCAGGTTGCACGACGCTGGCTCGTAGCCAGGGTAATAAAAATCCACCGCACACCGTTTGCTTTCTTTCGTATTCAATATAATTATATTTCATGATTCACTTTCTTTGTATACTATGTACAATTAGATATCTGCTGGTTTTGTATTCGTTTTTTTTCTTTTCTTTTCTTTTCTTCGCTATGTTAAGGAGATAATAATTAGCAGCGGACGCCTATGCTGGAAACAGCTTTAGTGTTTTTTTTTTTTTACTTAGTAGTTACAATGCTAATTAATTTCATTAATTACTTATATCACATGGTTCGCATACGCTTCTCCCCTTATTCCAACGTTTTAATTTTGTCCGTTCGTGCCCTCTCCCGTTGCTTGCCATTCCTCGGAACATCGACGTCTAGCGATTCACCCATTCCGTGGCATGGGTACGGGTAACGTCAGTTCCCTGGGACGCTACTTCCACTGCAAATGTGACTATCGTCTAACATTCCCTGTCGTTGTCAATCTCAGACTAACCCTTTCTGCTCTACCTTAGAGCCATCCGATTGTCCGATCGCTCGAGCTCAGCAAAGACTGCAATAATCTCGTTTACGCCGTGAAGATTTAAAATGGATACTGCCCTCTTCGTAATGCCTCGTTAGAATTAATACTGACGACAGCTGCGATATATATATTTATATACACGTACATATATATCACTCCAACGACAAGTGCCGATCCCCACGGGCAATCTTTCCCGAATATAAAACTCCTCAAACGACGCTGCTCGCAAGTTTTATAGAGGCGGTTTCTTTTTTAACAATCGGATTACTTTCACACTTGCATCACTACGTAATAAATATTGCCGAATCGAACGTGAGATCTGTTCTTATAAATATCTTTCAAATAACCACGGGAAAAACATGCAGATGCACAGCCCTCGCCAGGATTAATTCACATTTTACACACCGGTTGACCCTACGTCGACTAAATGATAGTAAGGTGCTCTCGCAAAGGAGTAAACAAATAAGTCGAGAACATAATCGTCAGTCTCGAGACGTGCTACAATTGACAAGCCAGATGTCGACGAGGGAACGTCGACGAGTAACCCTCCCCCGTTTACATCCATTACGCAAATTCAAGACCCACGTGGAACAACGCCGTACGTTACATTTATATTATTTAAATATACAAAGTGAAGTTACTTTTTATCACGGTCAAACTCGCACGCGGGAACATTTTTAATGTCCGCCCCGACAACACTGTACACAGTGTCTCTCCGTATTAATTTTCAGGAAAAGTCGGATAAAAATACTGACAGATAAAAAAAGAAAAAAGAGAGAAGACCTTTCTCCCGTGACATCTCACTAAACTCTCGGAATTAGTGGATACACTGTACCGTTGAACGCAACATTACACAACGTCATGATAATGGAATACCCCGGGAAAAAGAAATCCAAATCATGCACGACTCCTCACCTTCGATCAAGAAAATTTCGCCTTTGTTTAAGGACCACTGGATATAAATGCAGTTTCCTACTTTAAGAGTACACAATACGAGAGATTGTTCTGGATGAAAGTCGACCCTTATTGGTATCATATACAATTGTCATAGGAAGGAAGTTTCGTGTATCATGCACCGTCAAAATGGAAAATCACTTTTACATCAAGCGGCGCAAAATGTGGTGGCAACTTTTTCTCTACTGCGATAACACTAACTGGATTATCATACGAAAGAACGAGTACGAAATGACCATGGGAGTATTATTTAGCAAAATTTTGTAAAAGAAAACATTGAATTTGATATTAATTAACAATTGTTCCAAGTGAAGAATGCTACTAAAAATGATTGACTACTGTTTAAAATTATTACCGTGCACTCAAAACCGCGTTTTGGCGTATTCCTTCATTTAATCTCGAGAACACATTTCGACCATTTTACGGATGTTTTAACATCCGCAAAATATTGCAAATAGTGATAACATTATATAGAATATGTCTGTAAGATGTGCTAGTCGTCCAATCTTTTTAAAGAACTCGACAACCAATGCACTACCACGTATTCAATAAAAGAACCACATTTCCCCAAATAAATATTTGGGTTAGAAACGGTACGCGTTAATATATATTCAAAATGGTCCGACTTTCGTAAGATCTTGCCTAGCCAAATAAATCGCGTGCATGTGCAATATGCATGAGAACTTTGTTAAATAAATGTCCAAGGTCTGCTCTGTAGAAAAGTCATTCATTGCAGTCTATTTAGAGAGAGAGAAAAAAAAATACTCTAGTAAGCATTCGATGTTTCATCCACCTTAACAGTTTCCACGTATTTTTCTTAACCAGATTACTCTTAAGACCTCCCTTAAATTTGAGGTTGAAAATATCAATCGGAACTCTCGGCACAAATCTCTGGTATCTCTCTTTTATCCAAAGCAGTTCTCGTTCAACAATTGTAGTCATCTATTATACGTGCCAATTTTCCACGATTTTTGGTATCAAAAGCTAAATTAAGGAACTTCGAAATCGACCATTTTTCGAGGAAAAGTGACCGATTGTTGATTCCAAATTTGAGGGAGGTAGTCCTTAAATAACCGTACCGATTGATAGCGAAAGTGATGGTAGTGGTAGAGCTAAAGGTAACGATCATCCGAGGATTAATCTCAGCGATGTTGGAAGTACATGGAAGCGTCATTCCCCTCTTAGATTAAGATTTGGATTACAAAATAGCCGGAAAGTTAAAACAATTACAAGCCGATTTTATCACGGTTCTCGAGTGCAAAAACTATTTCAAATATTCTTTATTCAACGTTCTTCCGCCTGTCCATGTATTACTTCATCCCTTGATTAGTTGGTAGTTGAACACAGATTTTAGAAAAGTGAATATTGCTTCAACGAAATTGTGCATCGACCTTAGGTACGTTTAAATTCCCAATTGGTACAATGATGCCACCGAATATCATTTGAGGAAACGTTGACTACAAAAGTACAAGGTTAAGACGATTCGGAGCTGACTTCTTACCATCAAACCCTTAACTTTACAAGGTGTTTCTTTGTCAGAGTTAACCTCTTATCATTCCTCGAAATCAGTCGTGCATAGCACTGCCAAAGACTTCAACACGCGAATATCCATATCAGCGAGAACAGTCGGCTAAGGCAACAGTCATTCAACAGAGACAAGACGTTACAATAGTACTTAATCAAATTTGATCCGATCGCCCTCTCCTTCCTCAACCACGAAATATTCCCTTCAATTTTGGGCATTAACGCATCAAAGTTTCCGACACACCGACTTCGAGGAACTCGCAAACAAGATTTCGGCGCACTCTTCGAGTAAAACAGTCGGCCCCTTAAGTGCGGAGCGATTTCGGTGTCATGCAGCGCCCTTGAGCCGCGTCAAGGTTTGACAATTTCGCAAAGAGGAGGCTCAAGATACCACCAAGGTGTACGTCGATCCCATGTAAATCCAGCCTCGCTGCGAGAGAAGCGATGAACAGCGATGCGGCGAGCCGGTACCAGGTTCCACGGTGGTACCGAATCGAGTACTTATTCCGTTCTCACACCAGCTCTAGGTTCCTTCGAGCCCGTCAAACGGTGGAGTGCGGTGTCGGGGACGGCTGCGTGCCGGACGAGGCGGCTATCGAGGCCGGCACGGAGCTCGAATTAGACGGCGAGCTGACAACAACCACGGGCTTGACCAGGGTCGTGGTGTTGAGATACTGAGCGTTCATTAGGGGGACCTGGCCAACCGATTTCAGAATCGGAGTCGTGATCATCTTCCCGGCCAGGTTGGACGGCGCCAGAATGTGGGCCGTCACCTGGTTCCCTTGGGAGACTACGGTCATCGGGGTCACCAGCGGGGTCAAACTGGACAACGGGGTGTGCTGGCTGACGATGTGGGCTATTCCGGTTGGGTCTGCGCCCGTGGACGGAGCGTTTTGCATCACTGACGAGTTCGTTTTGCTCGTCGCCGCGGACAGCGACACGCTGGCGTGACTCAGGGTTAGACCTGGAATTACAGGACAGTCAGTGATCGTAACATGGAGTCTTTTCATAAAGGATAAGTAAAGCATCCACTAAGTGGGATCTGAAGAAGCTGAATTAAATTTTCCCTTCGCATTTTGAAACCGTGAAGCGCAGATAGGACAAGATCTCTTCGGCGTTACAAGGAAACATAGGGTCTTCATCTAGGAATACGACTGTCGCACACTTTCAAAGCAACCGGTGCACTTGGACGCACAAGTTGCTCTGCAAGTGGGCATTTTCATATGGCACCAATTCATTACACAATCGCAACGATGCGACATGGCCTTGGTATATGGTGCCAGCAGTGAATTTTCCAATTCTATTGATCCCCTGTAAACAATTAAACCTTTCGTTTGGAGGATGTAGAGTGAACTCGATTGAGCTTCTCGGAGGGTCGACAGTTCTCAGGTTAATTCGTTTCAAACTGACGTTTATGTATGCCTAAGTGCTACCGTGTTTACCGATAAATGTACTCCGATCCGATACGCGATCAAATCGACGTTCGTCGATAACATATCACGGGCTTGGCAGGACAAGAAAACGGTTACGCTTGGCACAAGTCGGAGTACGTTAGCTAGCATATGTTTTTCAATCACCTCCTTGTATAGTGAGGGGGTGAGCCTTGACGGAACGGAACACACCATTTGCGGGGAGAATGTTCAGCTCCGCTCCTCCCGGAAGTCGCGTCAGCTCGGAACCATTTCCGCCGACCAACGTCACCCCTCCAACCATTTTGTGGGCAGTCTGCGTCTCCCCCGTTCGAATCCTCGTCTGGGCGGCTGCAAACAAAAATGATTCCCTGTTAACGATACACTTCGTATTCAACGGAAAGCACATCTACATACGTACTGAGACTTCCTCCGTTAAGCTAAACGTTGAATTTGAAGGCCTAATATTTCAATAAAAAGGAAGTAATACATAAGAAATTTTAAGGTGAAGTGAAACCCCCTTCAAATCAGTCGATTCGAATACAACACTTTCTTTTAAGGGTATTAGACTAAACTGTCCAAAACTTTGACACATCACTCCTGATCATCTAAGAATTGTCCTGACACATTCAAAATTTGGATTTTTGGAAAACATTTTTTAACTTAGCCCACACCAGAACCAAAATGGCGTCGAGCTCTCATATTTCGATCAATATACAATTATCGAAGGCTCCGATATGAGAAACGAAAGGGTCAGGACAATTTTACGACAATTTAGAACACTCTGGTAATCGATAAACTCGCATTTGAACGGGATAAAGGCAAAAAAAGTGTTGTATGCGCTTCTATTCTAAAACGATGGGAATACGAGGTCTCGGAGTGAAAATTGAATTGACCTGGAAATCACAGATGGCGCAGGGGTCCCTCTGCAGTCAATTAGGGCCCCAGAAAGCGTGAATCCAGAGGATTTCTGGAGTTTTACTTCGATTTCTTGATATTTCTTGTACGAAAACGACAGGTGGAGTATGTCATTTGGTACAATATCCAATATAATTCTACCCAGCTGTCAATATAAAAACGAACGTCGGCAACGTAGGCATTTAGAAAAATCTTCTTTATCGACGTCGATCAAGTTCCTCGACGTGTTTCACTTCACCTTAAGCCCCTTCCTATCAAGGCCACCTTCGGCGCCACGGCTGAAGTTAACATTTTACGTTGACGCGAAACCTTCCTTGGCGCCGTGTACGCCCGCTTCTGGACCGTGTCCCAACTAACTGGAACTTGGACCGAGTCGAGGGTGAGATTCGCGACTTACTGGAGACACTGAGGGCCGCCGGAGAATGCGCGGCCAGAACCAGAGGCCTGCCCTCGTTTCCGGAGGGCACGAAGGTGACGGGCCTGACGTCACTGGCAGAAGACTGGACGGCGAGGGCCAGGGGTCTATCGTTCGACAGGTTCGAGTGGACAAACGTAACGCGGTTGTCGTTAGCCGTCGAGGAATGGACCACCAGGGCCACGGGCCTAGGCTCGCTCCCGCTGTTCGACTGCACGGCGATCAGAGGAGGCCTGGACTGATCCGAGGAGTTCTGGACCGCCAAGGTGAGGGGTCTGGACTGATCCGAGGAGTTCTGAACCGCCAGGGTGAGGGGTCTCGACTCGTTGCTACCGGTCGTGTGCGTCACCAGCAGCTGCCTCGTGTCTCCGGGGATGACCCTTAAGCTGGGCCCGAGATGTTGCAAGGCTGGCACGATCGTTGCCAGGCCCTGGCCCGTGTTTAGCATCTGCGCGTTGATCGGAAGGTGCAGCTGATGGGCCTGCTGCTGGACGACCGTTGGTGGAGGGTTCACCTTTTCCTGAAACGACGGACTCTCGTTAGCGATACTCCTTTCCGCGATGCGGCACGATGCCGATTAATCCATCTTGGCAGATCGGATTCCGGAGTTTCGCCTAACCGCGTACCTGCGCCGGGGTAGGAATGCTAGGGGTGGAGGCTCCAGGGCTGGAACTCGCGGGAGGACTCTCTCTGGACCCTTGAGCCAGATTAAGACCCTGAGTTTGACACACCACAGCCGCCGTTGCCACTTGGCTATGGACGTTCGAGCTGGCCTGCGTCCCCTGCAGATTTTGCGGCGAACTCGCCGTGGCTGCGCTACTGAGGCTGCTGGTGCTGCTGTACCTGGTCCCACCTCGCGCGAGGCCGGTCACGTCGACTTCTATGCCCTCTGAAACTGTAACGACTCCCTCAATAATCGAAACTAATTATACAAAACAATACAGAGCATTCCATCCGCTCAAGGTATCCATCTAACCCCGACTATTATGTTGGTTAAAATCTTAGATCCATTAATATAATAAATCATAGGATAAGAGTATAAAAATTAGGCGAAAAATATTCGATTTAGAAGTTATCGGGATAGTTCCGACTGAGTCTACCATTAAAGCGGTTTACTTTCGCCTTGAAACGAATATTTCTTTCGAATGAGGCATTAAAAAAAATAAAATAACGAAAGAGAAATGATTGGCTGAACCCGTCCCAATTTGCATGAGTGAAAGCGACGAGTGTACTGGACTGGTAAAAAATATACCACTCTTGGTGACATTGCCGTCCATGGTGAAATTGCAGTCCGGTAAGAGGGTATTGAAGTCGATGTGATCCCACGTAGCTGCGAGCTCCTTTTTCAGGGCTAACAACCGCTGGTTGGCTGCTATTTTCTCCCTGGCTAGCCTCTCCATCTCGTGTTCGTAATCTCTTTCCTTCCTCCTCAAAGCCTGGAACACGGACGTTCGAGATATCTCAAAGGATTCTATCGCATTCACCGAATGATACCCTGCTAAAAGATACGTCCCCACGCGCGTGAGACTCGTAATTAATTGCACACCTGTCGTGGATTTGCTTCAATTGCTTGCAAATGCGATACTTTTTAAACTACAGAATCCCACCTGTAATCGAGCCCATCGATTACACACTTTGATATCACTCGAGAATATTAACTTTGTATATACCAGATTGACGGGCCTTTAATCTCTGGTACAATGTACTGCCAAGGGTACATACAAATGGACCGCTTGCGGTGCGTACAGTGTACACAGGGTTACGTATAAAGCCTCCGAAGACAATGGCCGTGTAGGAATAATGCCCTAGAAGCGCTCCAAAACCCTCGCAAATTGCGTAAACTCGTGAAACTGACAGCTTGAGACTTTGGTCGGTACGCCGGAATTATAATATCGAAAGGACTGAATGGGAATTGATTTAATTGCGTCTTCCAGTCGCTTTCATTGGTTCAACCAAGTAACCCGCCCTCGGTTCCTGAACACGAATAGAGTCGTGGACCCGGATCAATTAGACTTCCTCTAGAAATAATTATGTCCATAGAGTCGTAACGAATACGTCGGTCGAGAAAATTATGCAATCAACCGAACGATATGAAAATATGGCGCGCTACTTTTTTCCCTAGTACCCCCTTGACTTTACATAGAACATGACATATCGTAGATCTTCAAGCTAGACGACGATAACAATACGCTGCGAAACATCCCGCCAAATGTCAGACCCAGGAATCCTATAACTCACGAGGCATAGACTTTCCCAGTGACTTACTTACAAGCTCAAGATCGTCCAATTTCTGAGAAGTACAGGTGACATGGCGTGTACTCGGCGTATCTAAGCGCCTGAGCTATTTCCATGCCTGTTCTACATTTACAAATAACCGGTATAATTAAAAGTAGGACGCACAGCCAAGGCAACAGAGTATCATAAGAGAGTTGGCAGGTGACCGGATGTTCGGCGAGATTTAACATTCCTTCGAGAGAGAACCGAGTTATCTCGGGTTTTGGAGGTTTCCGCGCTTTCGGTGGCCCAACTCTAAGTACTCGTCTTGCGCAAATCCCCCGATACACCGAAGCTAGAGCATGTCCCAACGAAACCTAATTATCGTTCCTGATGTAGAACTTCGATAGCGGACCTGGATGTGTCGAATTGCGGCGTGAAGGATGGAAAGGTTCGAAGACTTCTTCTCATCTTGAGCCGGAAGTTGCCTCTTCAAGAGCTCGAAGCATTCCTTCAGGTGCGCCCTCCTGTTCTTCTCCAGCTTATTGTGCACTTCCCTCGTGCCTGAACGGATAACGCAGGGTCTGAAAGAAAAACGCAGAACATCAGTTTTCACTTCAAATAAATCGGCCGTCAAGATCCACTAAAGAAAAAGAAAAAAAAAATATATCCTCTGCCTATTGACGCCCTCAAAAGAAGAGATCTAGTGTTTCACATTTTCAAAAATGGCCTTCCAAAGGAGGCGCCACTTTGTTTCATTAACACTATTTCTACCACGATTGTGTGTATACCTATTTCGACCAAAAGGTTTCGACGAGCTGGAGGAAAATGATACCGCTAAATAAATTTAACAATTATACGAAAACTCAAAACATTAATTGAGAAAAAAATTATTAAACTTTGAAAATAATTTCAAGGTAAAACTTTAAAAGGTGTCTTTTGACACTTTTGGTAGAAATAGTGTTAAAAATTGAGGTGAGTTTCATTATCACTATTTCTACCACGATTTTGTGTATACTTATTTCAACCAAAAGGTTTCGACGAGCTGGAGGAAAATGATACCGCTAAATAAATTTAACGATTATTATACGAAAACTCAAAACATTAATTGAGAAANCCACGATTTTGTGTATACCTATTTCGACCAAAAGATTTCGACGAGCTGGTGGAAAATGATACCGCTAAATAAATTTAACAATTATTATACGAAAACTCAAAACATTAATTGAGAAAAAAATCATTAAACTTTGAAAATAATTTCAAGTTAAAATTTTAAAAGGTGTCTTTTGACACTTTTGGTAGAAATAGTGTTAAAAATCGAGGCAAATCGGACCGCCGAGGAGTCGATAAGGCAGGATAAAAAGGAAAAGAGTGTAACCAATTAATTCCAGCTTTCGAGCCTCGAGAGTCCAGACTGCCGTTAAGCAATCGGAACCGCTTCCTACCCATTTCGGTGTCTCTTGTTGTCGTGCCCGGCCTCGAGGTCGACGACGAGGGCGCCGCCGGCGACGTGTCCATGGTTCGAGTTGTGATTATCCAGGTAATGGTTCTGTGAAGCATTGTGGTTGTTCTGATGATAGTGGTGATGTTGGTTGTGAAGCTGATGTTGCTGGTGCTGGTGTTGCTGATAGGTGGAAGAATGGAGGACATTTACATGTCCGGTGGAGGGGTTCAGGGGAGTTCCTCGGACGTTGCCGACCACCGGACTCCCTCTGGTATTAACCAGGTGGTTCCCATTGGTTCTGCTCGTATCAAGGGGGTCTTCCTCTGAAATTGAAAAGATGCAATTAGAGTCCGTTCGCTCAACAGCCACACTTATGAATGTATTTACCGCTTGGAGACAAATAGACAAACAATCATTACAATAAGTTTTCAACAGGATATAATTTAATACGGATACCCAGATCCATCGGCAAGGCCGCGAGTACAGCGCGACCGAAGATCAGAACATTCCACGAGTAAATTGCAACTGATTTAATTAATTTCTCTCGAACGTTCTTACTTAATCGTATTGCGAAACACGGTAAGAAATTTCCCGGTGCAATTATTTATGCACCTGGCCGGTTAAATAAATCCCAAGAAAATCCCTTATATATATACGTTACGAAATTCTCGTCCGAGCGAGAAACCTCGACGTATTTTGTTACCTGTATAATGATAACAATGTCACACAGATGATTTTCGATTGTTCTAAATTTTTAAATATGATATAGAGGACTAAAATCTAAGGGACCCGTGTTTTTTTTAATCGGCGGATAAACACTTTTAGGGGGTGAAATCAGGCTTCAAGGTTGGCTGTTTCATTTAGAAGAACTCGACCGATTTTCATGAAACAACCGTCAAAATGTAGGGAATGAAAAATTATGAAATAAGCATTTGGAATTTTTCGTAAAAAATTCATTTTTAAGGGATGAACCACCCCTTTGAATACTTCTTTTACCCCTTACGCGAGCAGTAATTACTCTGTCCAAATGAAACTTGGTTAATTTATAGACCAGAACAATACAAAAAAAGTTTCATTTGGATAGACCAATTACTGCTCGCGTAAGGGGTAAAATAAGTATTCAAAGGGCCCACCCCTTAAAAATGACTTTTTTTCGAAAAATTCCAAATGCATGTTTCATAATTCTTCATTTCCTACATTTTGACGGTTGTTTCATGAAAATCGGTCGAGTTCTTCTAAATGAAACAGCCAACTCACCCCCTTGCCCGGCCAACTTTGAAGCCTGATTTCACCCCCTAAAAGTGTTTACCCGCCGATAAAAAAAAAAAACACGAGTCCCTTAGATTTTAGTCCTCTATAACATATTTAAAAATGAACAAAATCAGAGGGGGACACCTCAGGTACCTTCCTTGTGAGAGGCATCCGATAATTCTGAATCACTCTCTACATCAAAGGGGAAAAGACACGGAGGAAATTGGAGGAAAATGAAGTCTCGTCGAGTCCAGACTCGTCTTAATGAAAATGATCCCCTGTCTCGTCCCCCGTCGGCCGCTGCCTGACTGGCGGTGAACAATTCACCCTCTACACGTGTCTCTCAGCAGGTGAAAGCCCCCTACCACGTGCAACAGTCGGCGAACGTAAATAATACTTGTACACGCGATCTCTGTCCGCAGATCGCGGGAAATCGCCGTTCCTAGACTCCTCTATATACATGAGTACACCGGCAATTTGATACTAGTAAATGCGGCTACCAAAATGTCTGTCACATCTTTTTTAATGTACGGTAAAACGCGAGCCGAAAGGTATGAAGACGGTAAATTCTACAGGACAAAGTCTTTAAGAACTTAGAAATCGCAAATGTCGGGTAACGGTTACTGTGTATTAATATATCAGACTGTTTTTACACTCCTTTAACTCTTTGCGATCGGCAAATTTCTCTGATAGGAGTACCAAGTCGGAGGAAATGTAGCTTTTCGGGGTTATTTTTCCCCAAGCTATTGAATAAGATCATGCCGCCACTGTGGCGGCACCGATCGCAAAGTGTTAAAACAGGTGAAAACGCTAGCAACGAAAGATGGCCGCCGGATGTTCCCTCCTCTCGTCTTAAGGGGATGTGAAAATCGCATCCGAAAGGTCAATCGTTCGTGAAACTTTACGACAAACTGGGTGTACCGAATCGTTTCAAACTTTACAACGTGAACGTGGAGGCCCTAAGGTCGGTCCTGAAACTCATGAAATTTCATTTTTTATAAAAAAATGTATGAAACATCGATAAACAAATTTAAAAAAAAATTGAAATTTTATGGGCGTCAGGACCTTCTTCATAGCTACTATATTCACATTGTCAAGTTTGAAACGATTCGGTACATTCGGTTCGGGGAAAAATTTCATAAACGAGACCTCCTCACGGCACTTTCACATCACCTTAAGGTGACGTGAAACACGTCGAGGAACTTGATCAACGTCGATAAAGAAGATTTTCCTAAATGCCTACGTTGCCGCCGTTCGTTTTTATATTGACAGCTGGATCGAATTATATTGGATATTGTACCAAATTGCATACTCCACCTGTCATTTTCGTACAATAATTATCAAGAAATCGAAGTAAAACTCTAGAAATCCTCTTGATTCATGCTTTCTGGGGCCCTAATTGACTGCAGAGGAACCCCCTGCGCCATCTGTGATTTCCAGGTGAATTAAATTTTCACTCCGAGACCTCGTATTACCATCGTTTTAGCATAGAAGCGTATACAACACTTTTTTTGCCTTTATCCCGTTCAAATGCGAGTTTATCGATTACCAGAGTGTTCTAAATTGTCGTAAAATTGTCGTGACCCTTTCGTTTCTCATATCGGAGCCTTCGATAATTGTATATCGATCGAAATATGAGAGCTCGACGCCATTTTGGTTCTGGTCTGGACTGAGTTAAAAAATTCTTTTCAAAAATCCAAATTTTGAATGTGTTAGGAGAATTCTTAGATGATCAGGAGTGACGTGTCAAAGTTTCGGACAGTTTCGTCTAATACCCTTAAAAAAAAGTGTTGTATTCGAATCGACTGATTTGAAGGATGTTTCACTTCACCTTAAGCTCCACCCGCGCTGCGATAGCCTCCATTAGTTTCATTATAGATCCATGCATTCACAAGCTCGCGGACTCCGTTGCAAGAGTTCCACGTTCGAGTTCTACATTGGTCAGCCCACCACGTGCAAGATGGCGGCGAGGGGGGGCGAGAGGTGCCAGCTAATATTAGTCCCGAGTAGCACGCCCATTCAGATTGAGCCGCAGAATGGAACGGAGTCGGGAGAGAGAAAGAGAAGTACGGAGACGGTCTCCGTCGAGGAATGCCAGGAATCGCGCTTCCCCGGGGCTCAGAATGAGCCAAAGGAGCTAGAACAATGGACTTAAGACCGGCCCGCGTCTACGGCGACATTTTCCTTGTTTTCCGTCGGAGCCTTCTCCCCTTCCCCCGGACCCAAGGGAAGCGGACATTCCGCGTGTGCCTTGCGTCGATTTGCCCTTGCTCGGAGGACTCTACGATGCAACAGAATTCGTGTCCACGGTCTACACACCGCTATTCAGGTTGAAAATGGAGTCGAAAAAGCTTGTATTATTATTTTCCCACAGTGCATGGTTTACCTGTGACAATCAATTGCCAAAGGATCAACCAACTGCGTCGATTAGCCGCACTGTTATCAGCGTCGTAGGGGCAAAACAGCGTATGTCGTGTCCACGGTCTACACACCGCTATTCAGGTTGAAAATGGAGTCGAAAAAGCTTGTATTATTTTTTTCCCGCAGTGCATGGTTTACCTGTGACAATCAATTGCCAAAGGATCAACCAACTACGTCGATTAGCCGCACTGTTATCAGCGTCGTAGGGGCAAGACAGCGTATGTCGTGTCCACGGTCTACACATCACTATCCAGGTTGAAAATGGAGTCGAAAAAGCTTGTATTATTATTTCCCCGCAGTGCATGGTTTACCTGTGACAATCAATTGCCAAAGGATCAACCAACTGCGTCGATTAGCCGCACTGTTATCAGCGTCGTAGGGGCAAGACAGTATAGGTCGTGTCCACGGTCTACACATCGCTATCCAGGTTGAAAATGGAGTCGAAAAAGCTTGTATTATTTTCTTCCCGCAGTGCATGGTTTACCTGTGACAATCAATTGCCAAAGGATCAACCAACTGCGTCGATTAGCCACACTGTTATCAGCGTCGTAGAGGCAAGACAGCGTATGTCGTGTCCACGGTCTACACATCGCTATCCAGGTTGAAAATGGAGTCGAAAAAGCTTGTATTATTATTTTCCCGCAGTGCATGGTTTACCTGTGACAATCAATTGCCAAAGGATCAATCAATTACGTCGATTAGCCGCACTGTTATCAGCGTCGTAGGGGCAAGACAGCGTATGTCGGAGTCTCACTGAGCGCGGCGCGTCAGCGCGTCGAGAATGGAGACCAATCAGAACTGCGCTTATCGTGTATCACTTCCGCCGCAGTTCTGATTGTTTTTTTTTTATTCTGAACGCGTTAACGCGCCGCGCTTTGTGAGACTGTCATCTTACGATGTGCTCTTCGATCCGCTCTTCACTAACAGGGATCCCGTAAAAAGAAAAAAAAAAAAAGAAAAAATAGTACAGGACTTATCAGTTCCGTTTTCAAGAAGGATAGGGATGTTTAAACCGTGGCCAGGAATTCTGTTACACCCCACATATTAGTCACGAGTTACGTACAACCCCATTATAACTTCTACTGAGGAAGTACGAAGGTATATACGTCACGTCATTTCTCCCATTTTTCTTTTTTTTTTTCTTACTCTTGTGGAAAGTATCTTGGGCCGCGTCAGAGAGAGGAATTTCCCTCGGATATTCAATTTGGCCGGTAAGGTGCGACCAAGGACGATTAATCTTCCTTTCGGCCCATTTCCTCGCTATGTAACCCATCCTCCACCGGAACGCCGTCGGAGGTGACCGGCGACGTCTCCAAGTAACTCGCCAACCACGTAAGTCCGCAGTGACGTGGACAAGTCAACGGCCTATTGCACATTAGTAATAGACTTGGCATTACATTGGCTCACCCAGAAACGGACTGCAACGACCTCGGGGAAAGGATATCCCAACGACCGGAGGAGGCCTTTCCCCTCGAGACGCGGCAAAACGCGACGTTCCACGTGTTTTTCTTTTTCTTTTTTTTTTCCTCTTTTTCTTTCTACCCTTTTCCCTATTTTCTTAAGGTGATATGAAACTGTCGTATATACATATCAACGAGTCAAAATACTTATAAAGCTTTTCTCCAAATTGGGTGCACCGAATCATTTGAAA